GTCTTCCCCCTCTCTCATAAGCCTCCCTGGTTTCCCCCGCTCTCCCTCTGCTGCTCTTACACCCTCTTTCCCCTTTTCCAACCTCTTCTCCCCTGCTCTGCCCGCTCTCACCCTCCTCCCCCGGACCACGTGAACACGGAGGCTGGTGGCGGACACAGGTCTCCCCTCTCTTTACCCATATAATAAATTGCTTATACCTGAACAGTTTGACCCTGGAGAAGTCTCCCACCATGAGCATTTTTTACACAGCAATAGGAAAAAACCTCCAAGACCATCCAACATTGCTTGATGCCAAAGGAAGAATGCATTGGATGGAAGAGCTGAGACTCTTAGGGTTGTAAGTCAACAAATCCACTCCTCCCAGTGAATTCCTGATGTCATACTGACTCTCAATGGAGGTTTCTGCCTCTGCCTTCATCCAGGTACCTACTGAGGAACCAGGAGGATGTAGAGATCACCAGCCAGGTGTCTTTTCAAGGGGAATCACCTGGAACGGGGCTCATCAGGTGTCTGCCCAATTGGGGTCACTGGGGATCATCCAATGCAGATCCTCACATGGGAGATGGAGTTGGAGCAGTGCACAAAGCTCTGCCTTCACTCAGGACATTCACAAGACTTCCCTTACAGGTAAGTCCATTTGTGTGAAGTTAAGGCAGAGCTCTGATGGAAGTGCTTCCCATACTCGGGAATAGGGCCCCTCCCCGGTATGGACGTGCCAGTGGACGATGAGGGTGGAGTTATGTTTGAAACCCTTCCCGTAGGGCAGGGCAGAGGAAGGGCCTCTCCTCCGTGTGTATTTTCTGATGCATGAGATTTGACCTGGTCCGAAACCCCTTCCCACACTCAGGACACTTGTAGGGCTGTTCCTCACTGTGGGTCTTCTGGTGGTCCATCAGGCTGGATCTATGGCAGAAGCTCTTCCCACACCTGAAGCACTTGTAGGGCCATTCCCCTGAGTGGATCTTCTGGTGCTGGACTAGGACAGAGCTCAGGCTGAAGCTCTTCCCACATTCCCCACACTTGCAGGACTGTTCCCTGTGTGTACTTGGTGGTGGATGAAGAGGTGGGAGGTGTGGCTGAAGCTCTTCCCACATTCCAAGCACCTGTAGGGCTTCTCCCCGCCGTGAAGCTGCTCATGGACCACCAGGCTGGATCTCTGGGTGAAGCACAGGGGAGGTCTTTTCTCATCAGAGCACCCTGGGATGGGTTTGGATCCCTTTGGCATTTCCTCCCCATTGGATTCCTACCCCTTGGAGCTGCTCAAAACGGCCTCTTCCACGAGGTTCTGCTGCGGGGATTTGTCTTCCCTTATCTTCCACCTGGAGGAGGAAGGACAAGGGAAGGGACAAGAAAAGGAAGGAGTCAGGAAGGAAGAAGGAAAGAACATGGAGAGGAAGGACAGCAGAGATTTAAGAAGGAGAGGAAGGGACAAGAAGTAAAAAGAGAGAAAGAAGATGAAGGAACAAGAAGATAAAGGAACAAGAAGAACAAGAAACAAAAAGAGGCGGGAGGGGAGGGGAG